CCACTTGTCGATCAGGCAGGTCTGACCCTATCCGGTCCAGTCTGACCCGGTAAAGTTTTTTTTTTCTTTTTTAAGAATTGTTTTTTTTTTCCTATCCGGCAGCAGGTCGTTGGAGCTCCAGTTAGTTGACTCAACATTAGTTAACTTCAACACTAGTTGACATTTGCCAATCCATTTTTTTTTTCTTTTAATTTGTTTCTAGTGGTGGGTCGTCGGAGCTCTGGTTAGCTAACTCAACATTAGTTAACTTTAACACTGTAGACATCTTTTTTTTTTCGGCGACGGGTTGTCGGGTCACCGGTTAAGTAGCTCACTTAGCATTAGTTTACTTCAACATTAATTAATTTACACATTAGTTAACTTCAATATTAGCTGACATTCAACCTTTTTTTTTTCTCCGGTGACGGATCGTCGGAGCTACGATTAGCTGACTTTAACATGAAAATTGTCAGGTGTCAGCTAATGCGTAGTCAGCTAATCAGAGCCCTAAATACCCACCACAAAAAAAAAAGTTGAAAGGAAAAATAAAAAAAAAATGTTCGGATGTTAGCTAATCTAAAGTCAACTAATGCATAGTCAGCTAATCAAAGCTTCGAAGTCCCGGTGCCGAAAAAAAGAAACAAACAAAAAGTTTGGACGTCAGCTAATGTTGAAGTCAACTAATACGTAGTCAGCTAATGTTGAATCAACTAATCAGAGCTCTGACGACCCGCCGCTGGAAAAACAAAATTAAGGAAAAAGAACGATATGTCAACTAATGTTGAAGTAAACTAATGATGAGTCAGATAACTCGAGCTCCGACGAACAACCACTTGAAAAAAAAAAGACAAAAGGTGATGTCAACTAATGTTAAGTTAACTAAGGTTGAAGTTTACTGACGTTGAATCAGCTAACCGGAGTGCCGACGACCCACCACCGGAAACATTAAAAAGGAAAAGAAAAAAAAAAGAATAAAAGAAAGAAAAAAATGCAATGTCAAATGTTGACAATGTCAAAGTTAACTAATGTTGAGTCAGCTAACTAGAGCTCTGATGACCCGCCGCCGGTAAAAGAAAACAAAATGAAAAAAAAAAAAAAAAAAAAAGGAATGTCAACTAACGTTGAAGTTAACTAATGCTGAGTCAGCTAACCAGAGCTCCAATGACCTACCGCTGGAAAAAAAAATTTAAAAATAATAATTAAAAAAAGATAAAAGAAAAAAAAAGTTAATGTCAACTAATTAAAGTTAATTAATGTTGGGTTAGCTAACCGGGGCTCCGACCACCTAGGCCACTGCTGAAAAAAAAATGAAAAATTGAAAAAAGTATATTATTAATTTTTAAAATAATAATTAAAAAAAAAAAGATAATAAAAAAAAAACTAAATGTCATCTAAATGAAGTTAACTAATGCTGAGTTAGCTAACCGGTACTCCGACCACCGAGGTCACTACTGAAAAAACAAAAAAAAAAGTATATTATTATTTTTTTGTAATAAATAAAATAAGATAAAGCAAATTAATCTAAAGTCAACTAATGTATAGTCAGCTAATCTAAAGTCAACTAATGCATAGTCAGCTAATCAAAGCTTCGACGTCCCGTTGCCGAAAAAAAAAAAAGGTTGGACGCAGCTAATGTTGAAGTCAACTAATACGTAGTCAGCTAATGCTGAATCAATTAATCGGAGCTCTGACGACCCGCCGCTGAAAAAAAAAAATTAAGGAAAAAGAACGATATGTCAACTAATGTTGAAGTAAACTAATGTTGAGTCGGATAACTCGAGCTCCGACGAACAACTACTTGAAAAAAAAAAGACAAAAAGTGATGCCAATTAATGTTAAAGTTAACTATGGTTGAAGTTTACTAACGTTGAGTCAGCTAACCGGAGTACCGACGACCCACCACCGGAAACATTAGAAAGGAAAAAAAAAAAAAAGATAAAAGAAAGAAAAAAATGCAATGACAAATGTTGACAATGTCAAAGTTAACTAATGTTGAGTCAGCTAACTAGAGCTCTGATGACCCGCCGCCGGTAACAGAAAACAAAATGAAAAAAAAAAAAAGGAATGTCAACTAACGTTGAAGTTAGCATAACCAGAGCTCCAATGACCCGCCGCTAGAAAAAAATTAAAATAATAATTAAAAATAGATAAAAGAAAAAAAAAATGAATGTCAACTAATTAAAGTTAATTAATTTTGAGTAAGCTAATTGGAGTTTCGACCACCCAGGCCACTGTTGAAAAAAAAAAATGAAAAATTAAAAAAAGTATATTATTAATTTTTAAAATAATAAATAAAAAAAAAAGATATTAAAAAAAATGAATGTCATCTAATTGAAATTAAGTAATGATGAGTTAGACCACCCAAGTCACTACTGGAAAAAAAAAAAAAATTTAAAAAGTATATTATTAATTTTTTTAATAAATAAAAATAATAATAATCTAAATAAAATAAGATAAAAACAAACTCTAATTAGGGCTTAAAAGAACAAAAAGGGTATAAGCCAGTTTGGGCTTTAGCTCATTTAGCTTCAAATGGGCGAAGGAGGCAACCAGCCTGTAATCTTTCCACTGTTGAAATAAACTAGACCAAAAAATACTCAAATAAATAAAAAAGTAATTGTCCAATTTGGGGCTAAGCCCCACTTGGACCGGGCAAGCCAGTGAACCGCCCGGCCTAGACCCAGCCAAACTAGCTAGCCGAATGTTCAATTACTTTATAGCCCCCACTTGGGTTATAAGCTCACGTTACGAAGCTCGGCCGTTAGTATTATCTTTCTTTCTGTTTATAAAGACTTAAGAAAACTAGTAAACTCCCGATGTGGGAGTGAATTTCTATTAGTCTTTTTTTATTCTTTTTTTGCTCTCTTCAAACTAAATTGATTTTATTCTCCAACTTTAAATTGGCAATAAAATTAAGCAAAACGTTTATTCTGGAATGGATAACAACTAATGAAAAAAAAAAAAGAAAAAGAAAAATTGATAATAATATTAATAATAGCTCATATACACATACATTGTGGCTCCAACACAAGAATAGAATGTAGTGGCTACAACATTTGCCGAAAAAATTACAATATTCTCATCTACTACAAAAACATAATATGCTCCAAAGTATATTATTATTATTATTATTATTATTATTATTATTATTATTATTATTATTATTATTATTATTATTATTATTATTATTATTATTATTATTATTATTATTATTATTATTATTATTATTATTATTATTATTATTATTATTATTATTATTATTATTATTATGATTATGATTATTATTATTATTATTATTATTATTATTATTATTATTATTATTATTATTATTATTATTATTATTATTATTATTTAGGAAGCAAGAGGCTCGATAAAAATTAAACCCTCTTTCAAAGCTCTTCAACTACAGCACCGACTCATTTTTTCTTGTCAGTTTCACCGGTAACAATGTTACAGTACAATACACCTCTAGCTTCTTCGGCCTGGAGACTTGAGTTCGGTTACATGACCCGACTGTGACCCATAATCAAATTATGCACGCACGTGAGAACTGAGATTTCTTAATTTTCAATTTTGAAAACGGATCCATATGAGAGGCGCAAATATAACAAAAACTTTAGAAAAATAAATAAATAAATAAAATGATGAGATAAAAATTTAAGATGAGAGAGCTGGATTAAAGATGCTTAAATGAGTTTATATCTGATGGGGTCATTTGAGCTAGCTCCATAAAAGCAAGTTCAACTAAATATATATCAAACCCACTAATTTATTATTATTTCTTTTTTTTTTTCATTTAAGAAAACCTCTCATAAAATGGTATTGTACTACTCTCTCTCAAGTTTCCATTGACATAAATTCACATCAAAAACTATTTTAGGTGTTTTTTTTTTTTTTGTCTTTTTTAATATTTATATAAAAATTCTATTTATTTATTTATTTTTATGGCGGCGGGTCACCTGAGCTCTGGCCAGCGAGCTTCCAACTTTCGATTAGTTGACTTCCACATCCAATCAACGGACTTCCGAGCTCTGATTTTTTATCCGGCGGCGAGTCACAGAAGTTCTAATAAACTAACTTTCGATTTTCAATCAGCTAAGTCGCGTCAAGTAAACGAAATCAAGTCAATTAATCAAGCAACTCGCCACCGGAAATGTCAGCAACAAAATCAAGTCAGCTAAATCAAAAGACAACTAATTGAAGCCCCGACGATGGCAAAATCAAGTCAAGTCAACTAATCAGATCTTTAGCAACTCCCCGCAGGAAAAAGTTCAGTCAACTAGTCAAGTCAGATGATCGACGCCACCGGCAAAATCAACTAACTAAATGAAGTCTGTTTAAGTTAACTAATCGGAGGTCTATTAAGCGGAGCTCCGGCAACACACCACCGCCGGAACCGACAAAAAGTTAAAAAATAATAAGTTGAAAGAATTAAATAAATAAGTTTTAAAAATGAACCCAATTAAAGACGGGGAGAGTTGGGAAAATTAATTATTAGGGTTTATGTCAAATGAAAGTTTAAAATAACGGCAATTACTCAAATAAAAAAAATGCTTGCTATTTTTTTCAATTATGTAAGTTAGTAACTGGGCTACATATAATAAACCTAAATTTATTTCTAAATAAAACAAGATAAAAAGGCGAGTCAATTAGAGATATGATTTGTTTTACTTGCAGACAGAAAACAAACAATCATTTCATCAGATAAGAATGCTCAACACTTTCTGCTAAATCACTCATTTCCATAATCATAACCATAGTACCACGCTTAGTCCCATTCCAAAGATTCAAAGTTAATTATTCCACTTTCACAACCATCATAAAAGCTCTTATAATAATTAAATGCAGGTCCAAAAAATGTTAAATGCAGTTGATGGAAATGTTAAATGCAGTTGGGCGAATATTAAACATAAGAGTACAATAGTACTTTTGTCTATTCATGGGTATTTAGGGGTGGACCTATCCCTATACAGTTTCCATATTAGGGGTGTATATCAAATGGCCCCTAATTACGAGATTAATCAAGAAAACGCAATCAATTCGAACATGTCTCGATCTTATCATATCATTAACAAATACAATTTTAGAGAGAGAAAAAAAACCGATTACATATTAGAACTCGAGACTGATAGACGTAAAGACTCGTTACGACTTACTTGTGATATATACAGAGACTAGCATCAATTGCCGGAAAAAAATATTCTCGAGTCGGAAATAAGTTACTACTTACCTCAAGTTAGTGACTATACTTCACTAGGCTAACCAATTTCTTGCAATTTGTTTCCCTTATAAATTCATTTTCACCGCAATGTTATTTTCACGGGATTTTCCCAAAGCGGCGGCAACTTTGGCTCTATGAGCTGCGGCGTTATTCTTCACCCTACCACCTTCTTGAGGAAGCTCCGACGCTTCATTAATCGAACCCAACCTCAACTCCGCAGGCGGAATGAAACAATCGATCGATAAACCCGGTACATTAAACGCCACTTCCTCGATATTCCACACTTCTTCCATTCGAGTCTTGGTATGGCTCATTGAAGTTTCACCGAACCTAAAAAGGGTCACGACGGATCGACCCGAGTGGGCGATCTGGATCCCTTCGACGGGTCGATAATCGTCGAGAAAAGAATTGATTGTGGTCTCCCAATAAACGGTGTCTCCTTCGTTGGATTGGATCCGGGTCAAATGGGAATCCTCTAAATGGACAAGGAGCCCCGTTTTCTGACTGAAGTATCCGAAGAGGACGTGGCGTATGATCTCCGCGGGCCCCTCGCTTCGGGCTTTGAGTGTGCGGGGATCGGTTGAGATTTTTAGGATGAAGCAATCCTCACCGTTGATTTTCTTCTCTCCCGTGCACCTTGCGTGGGCGAACATGTTTGCCGTTGTTCTCGGATCGAGACCCTAATAAAAATTTAGAACATGTTACAATCGAAATTAACTAGAGGTGAAATTAACAAGCTACTCGATAGTCGATTTAAGTCGATTTCAAAATTAACAAGATTTGAAGCTCGATTGGTGCTCAAATTTAATTAGACAAAAAAAATGATAAAATATGTATAAGAATCAAGCTACTCAAGCACGATCAACCTCAATTCATCAACATATAACCAACCACAATTTCTAAAGCTCGATACGAAATATTTATGACTCGACTCAATTTGTTTACACCCCTATTAATAATACAGTAGAACCTCGATAAATTAATAACCTCGCTTAAATAATAGTTTTTTCTGATCCCGACTCGGTAAAAACCTACTAATTATTAGTTCGATAATTTAATATTACGCTAAATTAATAGAATGTTGCTAGTCCCAACTGTAATAATTTATAGAGGTTTAACTGTAATAATAACAACAGGCAAATTACCTGAAGGGCACGGCGGAGGGGTCTAACGGGGCCTTTGGCGGCATGAGCACCAAGCCAAGGAGTGTGCCGCCACACGAGCTTCCCGTTGCAACCGGCATGAACTTTGCTGCCGCCAAGTGCGAGCTCAACATACCACATATCGGGATTCATTTGCCACAGCACAAACCCGCCCAACTCGGGATCTTTTGCCGAATTACGGCTCTTTATGACCTTAGTTGCCGTCTCTATATCGGATGCCAGCATTTTAACCTTCCCCATCGCGTACGCGTTTTGGATCGAGCTTTGAAGCTTATGCCCGCCGGATGCTGCCAAGTATTGCTGCAGTATGTACTGTGCTGAAGAAGATTCCTATGGATAATAATAATAATGATAATTACAATAGTGCCACGAGAATATTAATGTATGGAATTCCAACGGTACAAGAAAACGACGTATATCATCCAGAACATGGACCACAATAACCATGTGCAGACACAATCTAATCTGTTTATCATTTATTCTAGACACAATCTAATATGTTTATCATTTATTCTAAGACAAGTTACGGTCATCCCTGAGGTACGGTCAAATTACGAAAAAAAACCCTCTTGCTTGCGTAATTTCAGTCATTCCCTCAACTATGTATTTCCGGTCGGTAAACCGACCGAACCGAACGAAAATTCGGTACATGCTGATTACCGAACTGGTAATTAAACTAAAATTAATTAAAAAAAAACAAATTTTTAAATATTTTTAATAAAATTTCGATAATTCGATAATTTACCAAACCGTATGATAAACGGTATGAAAATTTGGAGTACGATTTTGCCGACTGAACACCTCTAAATTTATATCATCTGAAAGGGTTTTTTGTAAGACAATACATATTTGAAGGGTGGCTGTAATTACGCAAATAAGAGGGGGTTTTTCGTAATTTGACCTTACCTCAGGCCGTAATTTGTCCTTTACTCTATTGATCTTAAAAGAATTTAATGAATAAACAAAGCGAATGAAGAAAATGGAAAAAAAAAAAAAAAAAAAAAGAGGGAACTAACAATGGGGGTGTCTTTGACGCTGAGGTGGGGCAAGGGTTCGTTGTTGCTAACGTGCACGGGGGCGAGCGGCGCACCGAGGACGCCGAGGAGCAGCCTCAGATCGGACCGGGAATAAGCCGGGCCGGGCTGACCGACGGTCGAAACAGAAGGGGCACGGCAAAGCCAGTTGGCCCACTTGTCACTCCTCGAATCGCCGGGACCCGACCCGTTCGGATCCGGACCCTCCCTTAAAGGAGAGAGTGCCTCAACCCGACCCGATCTCGCTACGAACATTTCGGGTGGGCCCAAACTAGAGCCTCTCCGGCGACGGAGAAGACCCGAACCCGAAGGAGAGTGGCTCCGGGTCTTCCTCGAACGACCCGGCGACAGGCCCCTGACCATTTCATCTTTCAGAGCCGAGAAAAAACCCTGCTTTCGCTCCATACCCGGCCGCAGAAACGGGTCGTGAGTAGAAAATGGGTCAAGTAGTTTGTGCAGTAGAGCAAAGGAAGGGAAAAAGAAGAGGGAATGGCGTTTACAAGAAGCAGAGCAATTGGTTTTCTTTTTCTTCTTTTCGTTTCGCGGTTGCTGTATTATTTATATAGTAGACTGCGAGTGTGAAGAGTGAGATTGAGAATTATTATATTATATATTTTTATTTAATTTATTATTTAGGTTAGGCTGTTTTTCTCTCTCTCTTATTTTTTTTTTGTTGGTAGATTTTCTATCTGCAATTTACCAAATTTACCGGACAATTGGTATTTTGGAATTCAAAATTAGGAATATTCGGCATTTTGCCATCTTCGTTAGTTATATTTGGCATTTTGCATCCTATAATCACAACAATAGCACATTGCACCAACAATTTGCGTCGAATCAGCACCGAGTCAACGATTCGGTTAACGGGTAGCTACGCAAAATGGAATCGGTTTGTGTATTAATATATATGTATATGTATATATATACAATTGGAATTGTTTGTCCTTTGACGATCGACAACCAAGATTAAAAAAATTAGTCAATGATCAAAGTTTGACCGACCCATTTAGGTTTTCATCCCTCAAGTTTGCATCGATTTCACATTTAGTTGTTCATGTTTACAAAAAAAACATTCGATCATTCATGTTTTAACGTTTAACACTTTTGGTCATTTTTGTCAATAAACAGTTAGTATGTCAGTTAAGGAAGTCATGAGCACACGCTTGATTTTGTTAGTACTAAAGATATTTGACAGAAATTACCAAAAATGTTACATTATTGAAACACGAGAGATTAAATATAATTTTTTTAACATAGAGACCTAACATGAAATCAAAGTAAACTTGAGGGACTAATTGGGTAATTTTCCCCGAACCTTTTGGAAGTGTGTTAAAAGCAAGGTTGTAAAAAGCGGTAATCGGGTCCGAGTCGGTCAGGCACCGATTCACGATTAATCGGTTGCGGCGGTGATTAATCGGAAATAAATCGGTTTTTAAAATTTAATATAATATATTTCTAAATATTATTTATAAATACTCCAAACATATATAAAAAGATATTTAAACATAGTTATATCTCCATCATGTATATATCCTAATAACATAATAAAAGTTTAATAATCTTTAGATCATAATACATAAATATTCTTATAAAATTTAAATAAATAAAACATTTTTTTGAATTTACATTTATTCTTGAACATTCCTGGCCTACATCATTAGTTCTTTAACAATAACAATTAACATAAACAAAATAAGGCATAAATTCATATTTTCTTTTATTAAAATCCAACTTTTATTTTGAATTAAAAAAAAACCGATTTTTAACCGATTTTTAACCGATTTTTGCCACCGAGTTTGACCCACCTTAAAGGTTTGACCGCCTCAAACCGCCTAAAACCGCCTCACATGCAAAAAACCAATTTTTCAAACCTTTACACTAAAATCGTAAAGGTTTTGGACCGCCTCCGCCTCGGAGACCGATTAATCGGCCGCCTCGGCCGATTTTTAGAACACTGGTTACAAGTAAAATTATGATAAACCAGTCTTCTTATTATTAGGGTTGTGCATGGATCGGTTTTAACCAACAACCATTCCATTTTCGACCCATAATTTGTGACGGATAATCAACCATCAACCGACCCATTTAAGTTGGATCGATAATGTGAACCAACTCATGTGTAGTTGGGTCAATAATGGTTTCTAATATGCTAAAAAGTTGGTCATTCGGGTAATATCCGTCAACCAACTTTATTTATCAATTTACTATTTATTAATTTTATTTAAAGTGTTTAATACGATATTATTAATTTCAAATTTCTATTTTAAATCACATTTATTAAATTGTCTAATATCGACCTAAATTCTAAAAGCAATAAATCTAACCTAATTATCTAATTTGAACTATTTTAATTTTAAGACATACAGTCTAAAATATTTGGACGATTATTAATTATTGAATTATTTATGTTTAATTGCAATACATATGGCCCGTAATGTTTTGAATTTTGTATTCGAATATTGTTGAACTAGTCGTATTTAATTGTAAAAAAAATAGTGTTGTAACACTAATAAAATATTTCGATGGATGACCCATCAACCAAACCATCAACCGACCCACTAAATTGGTTATCAACCACCACTCAACTCATGTAAATTGGGTCGATAACGGTTTTCAATATTTACCAAAGTTGATTGGATGGGTTAGGTTAGTTTTATGGCTGGTTTTTAACCAACTCAACCAACGCACGGTCCTACTTATTATTGTACAAACTTTATCAATGTACTATCTATGCTAATTTTTGTTACTGATCCACAAAACAGACGCTCGAGATTTCTTTTAAAGTTGGGCAAATTTTGTTCAAAGAGAATTATGTTTTTACACATACATGTGTCTACACTATACATTTATGATTGAAATATGAAGAAGAGGGAGAAAATGGAGTATATACGTAAAAACTTATTCGAAAGTACCAATTAGTGATAATGAGGTAAGCAGATATTAAATGCTTATTTCTAAAAATTGAGGTAAGTATTTGCAGATATGGTGGAAAATCAATTTAAATGGAAAAAACGGGTCTATGATGCTTTTAAAAAATAGCTTAAAACAACTTATTCTAAGAGAAGCAAAAATAAAAGTTGATTTTTGCAAACACCCAAAACAGATTATGACAAAAAAAAACTCATAAGTTGTTTCTAAAAACTTTTGCAAATACCACCTAAATGTATTACAAATATTTTACATATGGTTATTTTAAGTTTTTTTGTAAAATAAATTGGTAATATGAGAAGGTTAGAAGGTTTGAGCATGGAAATAGAACGCTTCTTTTTTATATTCTTGCTTTCTAAAGTTTGTTGCCATTTTTTTATGACGTTTGTTGTTATTTTGAATCATTCCTTCACCTAAAGCAAACAAGAGATTTTGAAAAATAAAATTGACAAATATAATCAAAATAGAAAGAAAAAAATACGTTTTCCATGGCCTAAATGATGACCCAAGTGTTTACATAAAAATATAGGGATAAATGATTAATTAATTAGTAGTCCAAATATTTGGTTATTAATTTAGGTTTCAAATATTAGTAGCAGCACTTAATAGCAAACTTTAATTTTTGTAGCAAATTATAAATACGAATCTTGTCAACCAAACATCTTACTGGACATCTACTATTTAGGTGGTGTTTGCAAATGATTATCCAAAAGCAGAAGTTAGTAATTGTGAGTTAAGTTAGTTTTAAGTGCTTATTTCTAAAAGTTGGGGGTGTTTGTAATTCTTCCGGAAAATGAACTTAAATAAAAAAAAGCAGGGTTAGAGGTGCTTTTAAAAAATTAACTTAAAGCAGATTATTTTAAGAGAAACAAAAGCAAAAGTTGATTTTGCAAATACCTGAAAACAGATTATGAGAAAAGAAAAGTTCATAATCACTTTCAAAAAGTTTTTTGCAAACACCACCTTAGTCAATAGAACATAGTTATAGTAAATAAAACAGCTCTTTAGTCTTCCTTGTGTATAAGTTTCTTACATTCAAACATATTTAATAACTTTTGTTGTTATATGGTTGTAAAAGCTTTAATTAAATGACATATATTAATAATATCATCAATTGATTAATATAAAAGAATATAAATTGCATGGAACATAGTTAATTTCCAATTGGAGGAGCTAGAAATAATAATAAAAAGAAAAGGAGACTAAAGTCAAAGTCAACCAATCAAAGATTGAAATAATCAAAAGGAATCAAATGGCATGTACATAAGCCAAAGAGGAAAAAGGTAGCAATTTCACATGCACTCACACTCGAGTAATTATTCGATTTTCTCACTAGAAAATTTATGTACCAATTGCTCTTATGGCTGGCATTTTGATTTTTTAAATCTGTCTAGAAATTGTGTAGTGCTATGATATGATTGTAAATATAATTTTTGCTTTTTTTCTTTTTTAATATAACTAATACTTATCTCTGCAAAAATAAATATTTAAATGCATAATAATAACAATTATAATAAGAAAATATATTATACTGTTATTTTAAATAGTATTAGTAATATCAACATTTATATAAATCTAAAGAAATGAAGCAGTTAATAAGCCAAAATTTAGAAGACAAAAAAAATTAAAAACGTATAAATTTAATTAGAGATGTACGGTTAAAAAATGAAATGAGATACTGATGTTGAAAGTATTCTACAAGGTTTGGGTCGAATTTAGAACTATTTATAATTAGAAAATTAGTAAAGAAAAAATATAATTAGTTAAAAAACTAATTACAAGATGCATTAGGTTGCCCTAGTGTTTCTTTTATTTGCTTGCTATTATTAGATTAGATTGACTAAATAGTATAAGTTCTTAAGATGCTTGGTTAGTAGGATTCAACATTGCTTAAGCCCGTTACAAAAATTAAAGTCCAGAAGTAAGTGCACCTACAGTAGAACATCGATAAATTAATTACCTCGCTTAAATATTTTTTTTTCCGGTTGACTTGGGGATAACGTGCTAAATTAAGAATTTGCTATAAAATTTATAAAATAATATCATAATTCACATTCTAAAATTTTAAGAAGCCCCATCTAATATATAAATTAATAATGCATGAAAATATTTCTTAAAAAATTACATAGTACATTTTATTTTTTTTTATTGATCTATGAAGGCTTAATAAATTATAATTTCATTGTAGCTTATTTCTTGTTGAAGTTCACATTACCATCAACTTCATCCCTCACTTGTATAGAATTTGTTGTATGGTTTTCTTGTATAGTTAGAATTTCTTAACTATACATGGTTAGAATTTATTGTATAGAATTTCTTTTTTAACATGTTTAATATTTATTGCATAGTTTTCTCATAAATCAACATAAAATTGTTCAATACCATTGTTTCTTGACGAGCTTATGTTCGAGAAACAGGTTCTAGTTTATTGAATTAATAGTACAATGAATAATATATTCCTAAAAACTTTTAAAAAAATGTATTTATTGAAAATAATAATAATGAAATTAATAATTTCATAAATTAATTAAGGTATAAATTAATAATTATTAATTTATTGATAAGTTAATATTTCGTTAAATTAATAGAATTTTTATTGTTCCAACTGTATTTTATAGAGATTTAATTTAACTATACATCATGAAATAAATAACACATCCTCCCCTCCAACTAAATTCTACTAACCATCATCGAAATTCCATTGTCCCAAAGTTTTGCGTACACACCTAAGTTTTCTTTATTGGATAAAGACACTTAAAATTATTGTTTGACCAAAACTAATTAATAATCTTAGTAGAGCCTCTATTTTGTAGCTTGACAAAAAGGGCAGATGAGAGTGGTAGTATTAACTATTAAATAATAACAACAAATGTAATTAAATATTTCAAGCATTATAAGAAAATTAATGATTAATGTGAGAGTTGTTCTTGATGGAAGTGTGCTAAAGGTCAAAGAAGGACTATATTTTAATTGGGATTGGACTTTTATTGCGCAGATGGCGCATATGATTTTGATTCACGAGTACCCTATTTATTAGGGTACCAAATAATCATTTATTTATTTTTTTCCAAAAAAAAATTCATGCTCTTTGATCTAGTTGTACCAAAACTCCTTGAAAGTAACTTATTCTGATTTCAGTAATGTTTAGTGCTAATTGCAGATGAACAATAAAAAGTTAGGTATTATTTAGAAGGTATTTGTTGCATTATAGACGATGTCACGGTATTCGGTGTCTTATATACGACATCATTGTACATGATATAGAAACTCTTTGACGAATAAAGTTCATGTTAAAGATTCAAGTGCATTTGAAGAGATAATTGCAGTGTTTTGAAATCCGGACCGGCCGGTTGAACCGGTTAAATCGCGAACCATTGTCTTGTTCGGTCCGATTTGACCGGTTGAACCATAATATCGGAGCCTCAGTGAAAATCGGGTTCTTGAACAAAATTGTGTTTTTTTTTAATAAAAATAAACAAATATCAAAACAACGTCTTTTTACCAGTCAGTTAAAGAAAATAAAAATTGGAAGACATGTTATTTTTAATTATAATTTCTATAATATTTGAAATGATTCCGTGTGATATGTGTGTTGATATGTTTTGTATAAAAGAAAAATAAGTCTGATTTACATTTTAATTGAAAATGATCGTAATGAGTTAATTATGTGAAAGAAAATATGCTTTATGTACTATAAACATTATGTATAAATAATTATAAAATTAAAATGAAAAAATCAGTTGAATCCTGGTTGAACCGGTCCAATAACTTGTCTGAGTCTATGTCCAATCCGGCTTTGAAAACATTAGATAGTTGTATCATTTGATGTTCATGATGCATATTATTTTTTATAACAAAACGTGCATATCACATTATTCTTTTTCGTGATTTATAAATGCATTTCATTTCTTACAATAGCGAAAATAAAGTTTAACTTTTGAGTTGTAAGTAGCATTTCATTGACTGCGGTTTAGTACACTTAACATATGCTTAACACTGATTGCATACGAACAATTTGACAGTAACATATTTTGGATTAATTTTTTTAACATTGTAAGTAAAAAATGTTCGTTTCAAATGCAAAATCGTTGCTAGAAACATTGTAATGGAACTGGAACAATGGTGTCCGCAACATGCTCCATGACCGTTCCAGCTAACCATGAATGAAATCGATAATTACAGCTCTAGAATCTTAAATAATATTTAGATACTCCAAAACCATTTTCAAAATTTAGCTACAATTTAAAAAAAAAAAAAAAAAAAAAAAAAACTTTCATTTGGCATTTTTAACTGCAATAAATCTCCTTGAGATGCAACGCTGGCTTGTAGCAATCCATTAAATCGGGCAAAACAGTGGCATAAAAATCATCGTTTTAAAAATTAAATCCTACAACCACTATCACAAGTCGGCACACAACGTGCACGCCGCCCTTTGGTTAAACCATACCACAACAACGCAAAAACATCTGCTATTGAATCGACTGTTGTTGCAGGGTAGGTAGGGCATGTTTTAGTAAACCACCGACGAGCCGGCATACTAATTTACAGTTACATCTCTGAAGCAGTTCCCAGTAACAAAGGAAAAATATTCATAGTCTTAAAAAATTAGTTCATTCTGCTAGCCTTATTTTTAAAACTAATAGAATATCTGGACATTATTTATTGGCTTCGCCTAGGTTGAAACTCGACTGACTTGGCCACAAAACAAACAACCGAACAACAAACGAATGAAAATTTCAACACCAACAAGCAATTATCAGGAGATAGATTCTACAATCAACGAATACAAACCCGTTATAAAACCTACTGTTTACGATACAAACGATATTCTGCGACGAATTAAAATTGAACGAATCTTTGTTTAAACTCCATACAAAACTGATATGCCACATCACAGCAGTAGCATATTCTCAATTTTTTCAAGACAATCCAAAAATCAAACCACGATGGATAATTAAAAGATTCTACGCACCAAACGATGTAATAAAACGAAATAGAATCTTTAAGTTGCAGTGGTCAATGATATGCCTTCACATACGGTCTTCTCTCCTTCGTGGGGCACAAGTGATGATCTCATCAACCCTTAGGATCATCTCAGCAGCTTCCGTTGCAGATAGCAGTACAGCGTGCTTCACTTTGAACGCCTCGGATATACCAAGCTTCGCCATATCTCCCACCTGCACAGCGCCAGTTAAGAATCATGTAAATGACGTATTTGCCCCTAACCTAAGACAACAAAAAATCTAGGCATGAACAGAGAGTAGTTTGCTCACAGATCCAGTGAGGACATCGATCCCAGCATTGCTTCCCTCCTTGTGGTGTTCTGCGCGAAGCTGGGCGACTAATTCAGCACTGTCCAGACCCGCGTTGTCTGCAATGGTGGTCGGAATGGCCACAAGTGCTCGTGAAAATGCTTCAATGGCATGAGATCGCTTTCCCGGGGTTTTCTTGGCAAGTTCGTCGACTGCCTTTGCCATAACCATCTCAGGATATCCACCTCCGTATAAAACCCTGCTGTCGTTTACCGTCTGTGACAGCACACACAGTGCATCATGCAGAGATCTTTCTGCTTCGTCCAGCATATGAGGGCTGACAAAATAAAGACAACATATATTAATGTAGCTCGAGAAATATTGTTCTTAATTCCTTAAATACCAGATTAACAGATTGTAATTTTTAATCGCATGAATCTAACAATAACCTTATAAATATAAAATAATAATAATAAAAAAAGGGAAATAATTAGTTAAATATATTACGAAGAATTAAGGTACCTTGCTCCCCTCAGTACAATAGTACATGCCTGACCCATTGCAACGCCAGAGAAGTGGATCAACTTGTCCTCCCCGATCATAATTTCTTCGATAAGTTTACAGTGCCCGAGCTTAACAGACTCCGGATTGTCAAATGTCGACGCAATTTCACCGCCAGTAACAAGACCCAGCCGCTCAATGCCGTCAAAATCAGCATGCTCTATTGCAAGCACACCGGCATCAGCGAATAGCTCTTCGGGGAAATTGTAGATCAACTGTCGGTTAACAAAGCAGTTTATTCCGTGACCGATAATCTTCTGCACCTTCTCCCTCATCTTTTCCTTTTCAGCTACTTCGATCTCAGCAACCTTAGCCATCGAATCGACCCGAACACGTGCCCCGTAAATTTTCACTTTGTCTGTGTCCATTGCAGTATTTGCTACCAGAATCTTTGCATTCTCAATTCGTTTGGGTTGGCCAACACCAATCTTTTTGTCTAAAATAAAACTGAAGAGAAAAAGGAGTACCAGATTAACAAGATATATATATATATATATATATATATATATATATATATATATATATATATATAAAGCTACCAATCAAGCAGCAACAATAATGAAAAGTTTTGCAATTAAAGTTATTAAGCTACATAAATCTTTCTGAAAAATAAACTCCACTCCCTCTATGCACCAAAGCGAATGAAACCGAATGCAATTACAAATCAAAACAATGGCAGTTGTCAAAGTATACTGTTTTTATTAATAACATAAAACCACCGATGCAAAAAAAAAACACAAACAAAGATGGTCGTAGTAATTAAAAGCACCGAGCAATATAAAATTGTTCAGCTAGCTTACCCCTCATCCAAGAATGATTCTGTTAGTGCACCTCCAGTCTTCTTTATGATTTGGATCGACTCCAAATTTGTACTTCCCTGTCATTTTAAATCAATTGGTTAATCAGATCGTCCAGAAATATTTCAATACTAAACTGTAAAAGTGTCAAGCAACTTAAAAACAAAATAATCATAACAACCGAATTTCATGATATTAATGTTACTGACAAAGATGGACTGAGAACATAGAATATGTCTTCACTAACTTGGTGTCATGGTAGAGCGGATCCCAATCTAAGTCAATGTAAGCAAATAACAGCTTTGCAGAATACACATACGAATTAGATAGCGCCCGCTTCATACAACCCAATCCAAAGTCAACTCACTAAAATACTGAACTCGGATCTACATGAACCAACAACATTTCGAAGGAAATACAACTGAAAACAAAATAATATAACTCCAGGTAACTCATCTTACATTTGGTGTTTGTTACCATCTTTGCATTACAATCTATGAGTATGACAGAATTGTTTCTCTGTCAATAACTCTTTATTTCGTATATCGCATTTTTTATTACTTCAGAAAGAAGTTGGTTCATGATTATATTTGCCTTCTTCCTAAACTTAAAAGCCAGGTACTTAATAACCAATCGATGCACAAAATAAACAAGTAAAATAGCAGAACACAAGCAATCACATGCAGAACATTCCAAACAAATTTATCCTCGCTGCTAGGCTGAATATTGGTAAACAAAAGCAGCCTAGGCTAACACAATCAGAAGTCTATGAGTCGTATATGCAGCTGCATTTCGTACACTAGTAATTCCGAATGGCTCGGGAATGGAGGGTGCTGAAAGGAATGTAAGAATTGTCCGACCCAAGATCAGCAAAGTCTAAACCTCAGATACCAAGTTAAAAATGATCATACCTTCAGCCTCATAACCGCATCAACAGCTAATTTTGCGAAATGTTCTTTGTCCTGGGAGAGAATTTTGGAGCTCAAAGTAGTCCTCGCAATATTCATCAAGTCTTCTTTGAATTTCTCTGAAGAAAAAAGAAGAAATTTATACACAGCTCAAATCATCTTATAAGTAAAACGTTATATACTCCAATTCACTCTTATAATTATTTACACTACAACTATTTTTGATAAAAATAAGAGTGAATTTGCAACTATCATTATTGTATTTCCACAACTAGAAGATTATTTAAGTTTGATCCAGATCCACAGTATGCAGTCAACAAATTACGGGTAATGAACTGAAACTAGGGAACGAGTAAGACTCGGTCGACATTGAAAGGTTGTTTCTATGTAGTAGGATGATGGTATAACATAATGAATAGAAAGGAGATATAAACAGCGAAGAATAACAGTTAAACCCTTATAATATGGAAGATCTGCATTCAAAAGCAAAAGGAATAAAAAATTAAAATCACCTGCATCCAGTTTGTTATCAATCACTTTCTCCAGCAATGCGTTTCTCGCACATTCAGAAGCCATGCGGTACCCTGAAAAATACGAACAAAAAGTACTTAATTATATGAAAATATGATACCAAAATGAGCTACCTTCAGCAAGGGAAACGATGATCTGACAAGAATTGGTCTCTACTTACGAAGCTAACTAATCCAAAACAATTTGTAAAATTTGACAATTCAATGCAACGAAAACTACAAAATCTGCCTTAAACTCGTGTCGTAATTCACAATCATATGCAGTTCAAGGGAATTAAAATTACATTGATGTTAGTTCAGGGGAAGCATGTCTAATGTACAAAGAGAAAAAACTGCAGTTCCGAAGAAGTTATTCGGAAAATATGACACACCTGCAATAATAGTCATTGGATGAATTTTGGCGTTCACCAGCTTCTCCGCCTCCCTCAAGAGCTCTCCAGCTAAAACAACTACTGAAGTGGTTCCATCACCGACTTCATCATCTTGAACTTTTGAGATGTCTGAAGAATGAAGTCAAGGCTTGCCAAACCTTTAACATACAATCTTTTACGAAATTTAAAAATAAAATTCCCGTCTTATCCAAGATTAGCATAATTAGGCACTATACTTGGGGCGTGATTAAGATGAAATCTCTACGAGCAGTATACTTAGTAGAATCTACAGAATTTAGCAGCTCGACCACAGCACCGACACTGTCAAGTAACAACACTAACAAAAACAAACACAAAAATAACTCGGCATCAAAGGATACCAACAAGGACTTTGGCAGCAGGGTTGTCGATGTGCAGGGACTTTAAGATAGTTGCTCCGTCATTCGTGACTGTGACGCTCTGTCCTCTGCCGGTAGACTGCAAAATCTTGTCCTGCAAAACGTAACGAAAGAATATTACAAACGGAAGGCTTAAACAGAATTTACGCAAACAGAATCTAGACAAGATGCTCTTTTTACCATCCCCTTCGGTCCCAAGGTTGTTTTAACCAAATCAGCAATCGCCATTGCTCCAATGAAGGAGGCCTACCATAGAAACAAAAAAGAACATTCGGATCAGTTCCAACTTACATCTGAGATAACACACTTAATCTAGGGCTTTTTTTCAGTATGATCCAGAATTATTTACTGCAGATGATAATTGTACTCACCATTCTGGCGCGCTCACCCTTTTCTTCAGTAGCTTCATCTTTGAAAAGATTCTCGATCTGAAAAAAAAAAAAAAAAAAAAACATATCAGTATCCAGAAAATTTAGTACCTTTGAGAAAGAAGAGAATCGAGTAACTGACGTACCGCCATGGGAGTAGAAGTCGGAAATGAAGATGGGGAAGCAGACGATCAAGCGAATGATTCTCTGAAAAAAAAAACGCAATTGAGTTAAGCTGGACCTAAAATAAAAAAAATAAAAAAAGAAACGGCGATTTATCCGCCGGAGCGGCGATGTATGCCGCTTAAGCTCACCGTGGCGGTGATTGATCGGAGGGAGCGGACTGTAATGGGGGTGGAACGGCTTCTGGCAGTGTTCGTAGCGGCGGAAATGAACTAGGGTTCGGGGCGCCGAGTAGTGAAGAAGGGGGTCGTGTTTTGAAATGTTCTTATAATTGCAGTTTGGTCCAAATGTTTTATATTTGTTCTGATTGCAGAGACAGATCTGATTAATGTTGCTTTTAAGTTTTCAAAGGTTTCAACTTATTAGTCACCAAATTTTAAGATTTCTATTGAAATAAATAGATTAATCAGAACTCACACTTTAATCGATCAACTCGAATGAAGTAATTAAATGGGTGTTGTCAAAATACTTAACCACTATTTTGATATTTCAAATTAAAAAATATTCACTACAATGAAATTATCAAATAAGGTTTGTATTTTGATAATTCACATCTTGCGATATACAATTACAAATGCATGTTACAAATTTAACCACTTAAATGATTACTTAGAAAATGACGTTTGGCAATTAAATATATAATTATTTTATTTATATTTAATTAATAATCTTTTGATTACCTGTGGTTGGAGCAAAATAATTTATATAGGTATCAAAATAAAATATTAAATATCAAATGAAGTATAAAAAAATTAATATTTCATATCTCATTTTGATATTTTGGGTTCGAATTGCTTTCGAACGGATCAAGTGAAGTATTAAACTATGAAACTACATTTTTGATACTCATAAAATTAGAAAACCATTCTCCAATAGATGCATTAAAGTGGCATTTATTTTAATACTCAACCACTTCGACGTGTGCAAAAATGTTCCTTAGAAAATGAGATGTCAAAAATATAACCACTCCACAACCTATTTTGACATGTGGCGTTCAAAAAAATTATTCATCTATTTAAATTTTGATAATCTATTTAATGGGTTGTGGTTGGAGTAAATATTTAGAAGTATCAAGTATCAAATGAATGTCTAATGCTCCATTTTGATATATCTCCATAAGAGCAACTCCAATGGAGGAACTAAATGAAGTATCAAACCAAAAAACTACCATTTCGATACTCCAAAATTAAAAAATCCTCCTCCAATGGAGGCATTAAAGTGAGAATTATTTCGAATACTCAACCATCCCGAGGTGCAAAAATACTCCCTGAAAAATAAGGTATCAAAAATATAACCACCTCATTAACTTATCACTATTATTCATATATTTAAAATTTGATAATCTATTTGATACTTGGTGTTGGAGTGAAATTTTTTTCTGGAAGTATCAAAGTATTATATCAAGTATCAAATGAATGTTTAATGCTCCATTTTGATATCTTTCCATTGGAGTTGCTCTAAGAGCATCTTCTAACGTTACCACCATTTTTCACCAAATTCTATTTTTTTGTGGTGAAAAATATCATTCTACAATTTCACTATTTTTCGTGGGGAAATAATGTATTACTGTATTTGGTCTCCCAACAATTCCATCAAATTTTACACTAAATAATAAAATAATAATATTTCATCACTTTCCTATTTATAGAGAATAGGATATAGTTTGGTCTCCCATAACATTTCACCATATATATCACAAAATTATAAATTAAATATTAATCATAATTTTAGTCTATTTTATTTTTGAAATCATGATTATAGATCCGAATTTTAGTAATAATTTTTATTGACTATATAATTTTAAAAATTCTGATAATTAAAAAAAAAACTGTTGAAAAATTAATGAAAATCGACTTAAATTATTATACATATAATAAAAGCACAAAAACGATAATTTCATAACTTAGTGAGTAAAAATATTACAGTATTGATATGCCTAATTGGGTCAGCTCAATAAGCTTACTATTTTTCTACCTACTGGGCCACGACCCCGATTTAGAAGAGCACTATTGCGAAAGCCCAATTACCTTCAAATAAAGTTTTGACCCAACAAATTAACCTCGACCCAATCGACAATGTATAAATTAACGATTTAATTCATTTATTAAATGTACGCCTTATTATACGAGCAATACTACAATTTGTATTCTCTCAACTACTTCATATTCGCACGTCTGACTTTAGCGTCAGAGGGGTTTCCGCCGTATCAACCCCCAACCTAGTTTAAGTGTTCTCTGTTCGCAGGTATCTCAGGACCATCTAGCTCGTGAGCCAGTGATCCACTTCACTCTCCTAGCTCATCCTACCTCACTTATTTAAGGTGGTCTATTTCTAGCATAATCAAGTATTAATTAATTATAAAAACATTACAACATTGCTAACTTTGAAGTTCAAAAGGGCTTCGTTGAACATTTGTTAGAATTATGGTTCTTGTTTGGATTCTAAGTCTTGGCTAAAACCGTATGTTATTCATGGAAATAAAGAAGTCTCGTAAATAAGACTTATTACACGTGTCTCCATGGAATTTCAAGGAAGAAAATAATATTTCCTTAAAAAAAATTGAGAGTCGAAAGAACTTCATTTATAAAGCCAATTCGGCAAAAACAATTGAACGGATTCTATTAGGTAATAGTAGCATGTCATAAGTTTCCTTTTTCGTTAATGTTGCTATCTCGTGTGCCGCCTTGTTGCCTTCCCGTACAATATAAGGCTCTGATCACTATTAGCATAGCACCTATCCGGATTATATCGCTAACAATCGTGTTGTAGTCTGCGTTGTAATTTGGCTCTCTGACAACGGCGATGACAACATTCTAGTCCCCTTCAAGAACAATCTCTGCCAATTGTTATCTCGAGCCAGTTCAATCGCCATTAAAATTGCTTTACCTTCAGCCGCGGTTGGGTCAAAATGTAGTGCAATACATTTTGTGCGCCAACAAACACACTCTCCAGACTCCAAACGAGCTATCACTTCAAGACCTCACACTCCATCGACGAAATTGACAAAGGCGTCAAAATCAGCTTCACCCTCTGCCTCAGGAAGTTGCCAACAAACTTCATATTTCTCCTAATCTTTGGAAACAATATATACCTCGGTTGTGGCCATCTGGAGTTATCATTCCAAATTTTATTCATGAAGAATATAGTAGTCCTTGGGCCTGCAATTTTCCCCTTGAACATATATTTGTTCATTGCATTTCAAATTGCCCAACATAACCATACATCGATCAATAATCATTGGACATGATTTACGTTTGATCTCGAGCAACCGATCAAAGAATTTTGTTCTCACCGTATGATAGATCGTGAATGGGACCTCGGAAAGAACCCATACCTGACGAGAAATGGATATGCATAGAAACAGTGCATCACATTTTCTTCCCTCTCATCACAAAAGACACATCGATCATCATCCAAAACTTTTCGCTTAAGTAGATTTGACCGAACAGGTAATAGGTTTTTGCATGTCCTCCACAAGAATATCTTAACCATATTCGGAAGATTTAAACCTCAGATCCATTTCCACTCTCCATGTCGTTGGGTATTCCAACTATTACCCAGTCTCCTATTAATGCCAGCCTTAATTTTTGTTGCAAGATGGTAGGCGCTGCGAACTGAAAAGACCCCATTCCGTAGGGATGGCAATGAGGCGGGTATGGGACGGGTTTTGCAATCTCCATCCCCGTCCCGCTCCGAAAATTTCCATCCCCATTCCCGTAAAAAATCACGGATTTTATGAGTTGGTATCCCCATACCCGCCCCATAAAATCTCCACAGGTACCCGCGGGTACATGCCACGTAAAATCCCCGAATTATTTTAATAAAAATATAATTTATTTATAATTTAAAGACCTTGTTCAATAAACATTCCAACAAAATGCAAATTTAACTTCAAATTACAAAATTCAATAAATTATTTCGGGTTAGTAATATTTAAATATTTAATTCTTTATACTTCAATATAATAAATATTAAATATATATAAATAGTAGGCAGCGGAGATATGTCAGCCCACAAATCTCTTTGTACAAAACCACCAATGTAAAAATATTAATTTACCCTTAATGAAATTCAAGACCAAATTAACACAAAAAAAATAAAATAGAAAAAAAAAACACATTTCCTTTATGAAAGTCCAAATAAATCTCCTTCTCCTTCTTCTTCTTCTTCTTCTTCTTCTTCTTCTTCTTCTTCTTCTTCTTCTTCTTCTTCTTCTTCTTCTTCTTCTTCTTCTTCTTCTTCTTCTTCTTCTTCTTCTTCTTCTTCTTCTTCTTCTTCTTCTTCTTCTTCTTCACAAACCCACCAAGAACTAAACACCAAAACAATTTAATAGTCACCAAACATTCACAATAGAGTCAGAAAACAAGGAGATGGTGGTTTATGCGGGTGGAAAACATAATAAGATGTGTTAACCGTTTATTTTAGCTTGTGTGCCGTTTTTCTTTTGTTTTTGAAAAAAAAGTATCAACGATACCAAAAAAAGGTATTCACAGTCCGATTTTTTCAACAATAATCGGTATTCACGTGCCGATTTTACAAACAAAAATCGGTATTATACTGCCGATTTTTCCCAAAAAATCGGTATGAATATGCCGACTTTTTCAAAAAAATATCGGCGCGCACACGTCGTTTTCCCGGCTCCAATTTCAACCTCAAAATTTAATCCTAAATCGACCAAACCATTGCAACCCAACAAGAAATAAGCATCAATTAATGTTCACCACGCATATTTATCAAGGAATTGATGTTCGTTTTAAAGGAATCAATGCTCGATTAATGTTTTCGAATTTACCAACAAAATGTTTAGAATAAAGTAGTGGGTTTGTGGTGGTGGAGTGGTGGTAGTGTGCAAGTGGGTGGGTTGTATGTCGGCGTCGGTGCGGTGGCGTCTCCCTGGTCGGCGTCGCGGCGGCGGTCGTGTAGCGGCGACGGGTCGGACATTTTTGTTTAGTTTTTTGTTTTTTGTTTTTTTTCTTCTTGGTTGGTCTTGAACAAATTAAAAATAGGAATATATGTTTTGTATTTGTATTTTAATACTATTTGTGGATGAGGGCATATTCGTTCTCTTTTGTCTTGATATAATAAAATTAGATAAATTTGTGCACTTGAACTAAGAAACTTTTTATATGTCCACCTCATATAAAAAATTGGGCTTGCATATCCGCCGCCTAAATAATATTATGCGGGGTGAGTATGGGGCGGGTCTACGGAGCGAGTACCTACAAACCCGTCCCCATTCCCGTGCCCGGTAAAAAAAAAATTCAATCCCCATCCGCCGCCCCATCTTGTTTGAAATAATTATTTTACCATTGTTACAATATATATTTTGGAATTGTAGTATATTTGTATTTAAAATCAACTTTAGTAGCTTAATTTTTTAAAATCTATTTTTGGAATTTTAATTTAAAATTGTCTCTCCCGCCCGCAAAATTCTCGTCATATTGCGTGTTATCTAGAACAGCGGTCTCCACGACGACCTCCATGCCTGTTTCGAATGAACCATTATATAGATCACCGAAACAGCGTCAGAACGACCCTCTCTGTGCTGAAATCACCGCAAGCGACATTGCATGGAACTGAAACAGTAGTGCCTGAAACATTCTCCATAAAATTAACTAAATGCAACAAAAATATAAAATATTAATCACATATGACACTTAACATAATTTAGATAATGCATCATCATACTAGTCTACTTTCATCAACCACATTATTAAAATCATATATAAAGTAAAGATTTAGATACTAAATGAATAAAATGATACTGTCTCAATTTATACACAAATGCTTAGAATAAGGGCTCGTTTGGTTACTGCTATTACCCCCTACTAGACTAAATAGTAGGGGCTAATAGCATGTCCGGTTGACAAGATTCGCACCAGGGGAAGCCCGCTATAAAAACATGAGCCCGCTACAAAACCCTATTAATTCTCAAAATCTAATCGGTGCTCCACCCCTGCGATTAAAATAGTAGATGCCTACTAATAATGAAAATTACACTATTACCCTAGAATAAAGTTACGTATATTCACCCTATTTTATTAAATCTTGGAAGAAACAAAACCTAACCCACTTTTTATCTTCACCTCATTATCAAAGCAAGAAAAGTCTTGAAGAGAAGAACGGCTGTAGGCCATTTTAATTGGTAATTTCTTGAAATTTATTTTATTGACTTCAGATTTTTTTTTTGTTTTTGTTCATAGGTAGCAATGATTTGGTGACTTTGCATAATATTTTTGTGTTTCCTGCTTTGGTGAGGCAGGAGATGTATTTTGTTGTTGATTTTTTTTTTAATTTATATTCTTCTCTGTTTTTTTTTAATTGAAGAATATATCGTTTTTAATTATAGTTCTTTACTTCTAATAATCATTATTTGTGAACTTAATTGTTTGATTATTATTGAGAATCAGAATTATTCTCTCGTTTATTTTGGTCAAGTTTAGAAGTGCATGCTTAAAAAATTGAGTTCCATGGTTTTAGAAAATTTATAGAGTTTAATATAATGAAGTAAAATATAATTTTTGCTTTTGCTCAGTTGGGTTGATGTTATGAAAAAGATAATAGCTAATGTTATAAATTTTACGAATTATAGCCGAATAATTGCTAAGCTGGGGATATTATGGACAAATCACATTTATTACCAGATTTTAACGGATTTAATTGTAGGTCTAATCCAAGCAACCGATCATCCTACTAATCGACTAATTAATTAGTCAGTAGGGAGTTAATCCAATCCAATCCAATCCATATTAATCCGATCCCGGTAACCGAACGAGCCCTAAGACTACTAATCTAAAGATATAAAGTATATATATATATATATATATATATATATATATATATATATATATATATATATATATATATATATATATATATAAACCGAATAATTCGGTTTCCAAAAATTAAAAAAGGTACATGGGATTTGCTATTCGAAACAGCTCGAGTTTTCGGTTTTCTGGATCGGTTTTTTGGCTTATTTGCTCACCCCTAATATTATGCAATTTGTTCAAACCAATCGAATATCTTCCGAAATAAGAAAAAGAAAAAGTGAAATCAAAGTTCAACTTACAATTGATGTCATTAAATATAATCATTAACTAATTCAAATATAATGCGATGAGAGAAAGAAATCAGAGAAACCATGTGAGAAACATACATCATATTTTTATTTATTTTTTTCATTAATATTGTTCAATCAACAAAAGCATAAAAAAAAATAAAAAATAAAAAACGAAGCCCATCATTTACAAAAACCACAACACAAGTCATTTACCAAGTCTGAGAATTAACAGTCAAAGCCTTGTTCTTGAACCGGTACCTAGGGTTTCTAGGCACGACCTGACTCGGCCCGAACCCGAACTGGCCGATACTATCAGTCAACGGCGGCCCGTCATCGTAAATGTGGCCGACGAGCTTTCCGCAGCTATTGCAGATGATCTTGGTGCGTTTCCTTTGAATTCCCCAGTAATTAAGAGTCTCGAAGAAAGGTCGGATCTTGTCTTCTTTCTCGAACCTGAATTTTGAGGAATCGACGGTGGAGAAAGAGAGCGAATTTTTGTTGCCGGCCTCGAAATAAAAGTCCGGCGGGTAGAGGTGGGCGGCGACGAGGTTGAGATTCGCGCCGCACTCTCGGCAGCAGTATATCGTCGCCATTGATGCCAATGCTTTTGAATTGGGAATTGAGGATTGGAAATTGGGAATTGGGAATTGGGAATTGGGAATTTGGAATTTGGAATTGAGGAGGCGATCGGAGGGAGAAGGGGGGAGGATTTTGTAACACGGAAGAGAAGTTTCAAAAGCGCGTTTTGGTAGAAATTTCAGCCTTCTAGAATTATTTAGTGGGTTTTTTTTTTTTTGCAAAAACTACCCTTGTATAAACACTAATTGCTGAAAAAACCCCGTGTTAAAGAAACATAACAAGGAACCCGTATGAATGTTAGTTAAAGCCAATAAGGTCCCTGAAGGCTTATTGTGTGCTGCATGCGACAGATTGTGTGGCGTTTTGACATGAAAAGACCTAAGTACCCTTTAAATAAAAGAATTTGAAAATTACAGATTAACCCCAAATTTTCAAAACCTCAGAATGGATGTTTTAGAATTTTCAATTCAGTCATTGGCTTAAAAAACACCCTCTTCCCGATAAAAAAAATCCACCATTTTCAAACACAACACACACACACATTGGTGTTTTGGGATATTTTTTTTATGTACTCATGGTAGTATAGTCATTTTAACTAAGTCAACAAAAAAATGGCGAATAATGAGATTTGTGCTATACCAAACAATATAGGTACCTTGCTAATTTTTAGGGTTAATCACAGATTACCTCCCTGAAGTATGTCCCTTGTAACAGATATCTCCTAATGTACCATTTGTAACAGATATTCCCCTCCACCCACCACATGTGATGTTACTGTTTGAAAATGCTGACGTGGCTGTGCATAACTGCTCAATGATATAGTCGTTGGGACTGTGGACGAAAATACCCCTTCGTTTTGTATATATATAAACAAGCTTATTATACACATTTTATCCAATTTTCAGCACATTTCACTCACAATTTGACATCAAATTTCACATGTATTTGCACATATTTTCACAAAAAAATACACATAATTTTTACAATAATTTCTTTATTACACTGTATTTATTTTAAGATTTTTTTTTTCACGATGTCGGGGGTTCTAACTCGGCAAACTCTCATTTCTCACGTGATTCATATCGCTCCTCTAACTATTACATGTCTAATTTTGCATGTATAAATTGTAGGTGTGTGAGACCCGCACAAATTCACATAGTTTGGACGTAAAAAAATCCCGGTCGTAAGTTTGCTGGTTGTGAAAATTGGGATCTAAGTACCAAACATCTTCTAAGTATGCCTACAAACTAACTTGACTTATCTAATTGCATCTACTTAATTTATTGTAGAGTACAAATGGATGAATTTTTTTTGCATTGGTTAGAGCCTGAAATCTGGGAGAAGGGCATTCAAATTGGCCAGTCAATGCTTGAATTTCTAGACCAAAAGAATAAAAAAATCAGGAAACTTGAAGAAGTTGTACTCAATTTCACAACAAAAAATGAGGAGATGAAGATGATCATTCAAGGTTTAGAGGCTAAGGCTCAAGAATCAAAAATAAAATCTGCCAAGTTGAAACAAATTGCTCAAACTACACATGCTCAGTTACTCAAATACAAAAAAAGTGAGAAAATTATAAAGGTCTTTGTAATTTTAATAGTTACTCTATTTATATGTAACTTTGTGTATGCAACTAATAATGACAAGTCACAGTATTTGAACTTTTCTCTAAGTTGTATAATGCATACATATCAAAAACTATATTTCCTACTGTATTTGTCAAAAAATATATGAGCTTCTAACTTGTGCTTATATAATAGATCAAAAACTCTGACTTATGCTCATAGATTAGTCTTGTCTTAGCAAACTCAAGCTCCTCATTTTCAGCTCTTGTTACCACAAATTTGTTGCTAGAAGATTGACTGGAGACAAATATATCACCAAACCTACTTCTCTGTATATAAAGATATACATTAGTACTATTAAAATATAGAGTAAATTACAACCACCCCTAGAGGTATGGTCAATTTACGAAAAAAAACCCATCTTGTTTGGATAACTACATCTATCCCCCTCAACTATGTTTTTTTCTTACACCTCCACCCTTATGGTGTCAAATTCAACATAATCATCTAGATTTTGTGGAATGCGCTCTAATTTGTACTCGTTTTGTGTAAAAATACAGTTTTTGATGCACCACAATCTGATATATACAAGCCAAAAAACACATATTATGATCATCTTGCTTCAAAATGTGGAGTTCGAATGGGATAAAACGGGTACAAAAGTGATAATATTCCATATAATCTCAAAGATTCCACTAAATTTGAAAACACAAGGGTGGACGTGTAAGAAGACTTATAGTTGAGGGGGTGGTTGTAATTACCCAAACAGGAGGGTTTTTTTCGTAATTTGACCATACATCAGAAGGGTGGTTGTAATTTACCCTAAAATATAATCAAAGCTATAATTGTTTTGTAAAATAAACTAGTGTTCTTACCATTTTCTTTGGTGGAGATACATTGTTGCTGCTGTCAGGTTCACTTAGGGCTGCAGATGTGCTTTTAGGTACAGTTGATATATTTGACAAGGGTATAAAGGTATGTGTGTTTGATATTCCAATTCCATTCCAAAGGCCTATTCCACACAATGGACCATAGCCTCTGCATTTTCCCAAAGCTCTGCCCCTTCATTTTCCCCTATTTGCAACACTAGAAGTCTACAACAATTGACAAAAAGTTGAGAATATTGTGAAAGTAATGCTAATTGAAATTACTCGTAAAACATTTGAACTCATCCAACCGAATTGGTAGTGCGTATGATCCTTCCTCTTCCCCTGCCTCTGAGATATGTGCATTTGTTGGGATCCCTAAGTGTAACATTAGAAGTTTGCAATAAATTGAGAAAAGCTGAGAAACATGTGAAAGTAATACTACCTAAAATTAATTGTAAAATGTTTAACTCATACCACATTTGTAGTGCCTCGACTCCTTCATCTTCCTCTGCCTCTAACATTTTTGCATTCATTAAGATCTGTAGGTGCAATACTAGGAGTCTACGAAAATGATAATCAATTTATTGATTGTAAAAAAAAAAAGTTACAATAAACTAAATAACAAAATAAATTATAGATTACTGGTGCAGAACTTGCTGTTGGCCTATCTATTGGGGGTTTCTTACAAGATCTTTTATTATATGTGTCATATCCACAGTTAGAGCAAGACATCACACTCCCTCTTTTGCATACTCTACCTCCATTGTTGATCTCATCAAGTCCCTTTCTTTTAACCGTTTTTGGCCTTTCTGGTTGTCTTTTATATTTAGGAGGTTGAATGCATTCTATGTCACATATATCCCATAAATTCCCACTGGATAAATGACAGAGCCATAAGCAAGTTTATACTGTGAAACTGAGTAACAAAAGTGGACATAATCTTCTGGTTGCTTATGATCCGTGATCATGGCACATGTTGCATGGGCACAAGGTATTCCAATTAAATCCCACTCTCTGCAAGATCATTTGTGTTGCACAAGATCAACTATAAATGAGCTAAATCCTTGAATAATCCCCCAAACCACAACACCTGCTTTAACTGCCTCAAACTCTTCTACTCCTTTCATCTTGTTGATATCCAACTTCTGTTGTATTCTGGGGCATAATCTACCTTTGTACTTCCTAATCCAATCTATTTTTTCTTGAACTCTCCTCATGAACTGCCTTCTAAGTGAATCAAGCATAGTTAAAATAAGTTGATCCCTAGCCTCTTTGATGTAATTATTAAAAGACTCACATAAGTTGTTGCTCAACATGTCACACTTTGAAAATGGTGACATTTTGTGTTTGCACCATGTTTCTGGGGGAATTTTTTCAGCCACATATATGCTTCTGGTGATTTCAGCTTATAGCATTCATATTCTTTGTATATTCTTCCTCTTGGTAAGATGAAGCAGCAGCCCACATCAAGTCCTTTATTGCAATATCAAAGCATTTCAGCTTAAAGTTGGCATATAAATGTCTTACACAGTACCTATGCTCAGTTGTTGGCATTAGTTGTTTGAAATTCTCAACTAAACCCTTCAGTCTGTCTGAGATAAATGTCAATCTCCTCTCTTCAATACGCAATACACTAATCAGAGCTTGTAGAAACCAATTCCAACTATGTTTGCATTCTGCTTCAACAACTGCAACAACTAATGAGAACATTTGATTATTTTCATTCCTTCCAATGGCTGCCATCAACTGTCCTCCATATGAACCTTAACGAAGCATGCATCTAAGCCTATTTTATGTATGCACCCCTTTATAAAACCGTCTCTTTGTGCAACAAACGTAACAAAAATCTTTGAAATGTAACAACTCTGTATATTGGAGGGCCTTCAATTTTAACAATTACTGTAGAGCCAGGGTTTGTTTCAAGTACCTTCTTGGCATATATTCTGATTTTAAAATATTGATGCTTCACATTACCTTGAATCTTTTCAAAGGCCTTTGCTTTTGCTCTATACAACTGCATCCTCGAGGAAAAAATCTTGACATCTCTTTTTACCATCTTCTTGAATGCCTATAATGTCATGTTAGGATCAGCAACAAAATTCTGCAGATATTTATTTACCAAATAATTGGAATCTACTGTTGTATTGCTGAATTTTCTGGGACAAATATGAGGTTCACCCCTAAGTGATTTAATCTGGAAAACTGTTGATGTTCCATATAGGCTTGCATGAACAACCTTCCTCCTTACTTACACTTCGCTGTGACAGTGTGCTTCTCATTCTTTAAAGGGTAAATACACCCACACTCCTGAGGTATGCTAAAATAACTTTAAGGTCCCTGTGGTATCGATAATTACACTCACCCCCTTAAAACATAGTTAGAAACTCTAATTGGATAATGCATTGGATACGTTATTCCGATAGAGTTTTAACGGAAAACCCGAAATTTGAAACCCGAAAACCCGAAACCTGAAATCCGAAAACCCGAAAATCCAAAACCCGAAAACCCGAAACCCGGAACCCGAAATCCGAAACCCGAAAACCCGAAACCCGAAACCCGAAAACCCAAAAAGTTTCCGGAAGTGCTGGAGACAACAATGAGTTATGCGTGATTTAAGAAATGTTGGAGGAGCCATGTCACCTCATAACTCTATGTTGTCTCCACCACTAGCTAAAAATAATAGTCCGTTAGAACTCTATCGGAATAACGTATCCAATGGATTATCCCATTAGAATTTCTAACTATGTTTCATGGGGTGTGTGTAATTATCGATATTACATGGACCTTAAATTTATTTAAGCATACCTCAGGAGTGTGGGTGTAATTTACCCTTCTTTAAAAAATCCATCTCAAAACCAGACCTAATAGCATACTCTCTGATTGATTTTCTAAATACTTTGACATTCACAAACAGAAGTCCAACTCTGGGAGTTGGATTCGCCATGTCTCTTTTCTCATCAAATTGAGGATATTTCAGTGTCAAGCTGTCGTCACCGGA